GTGTGGAGGCGTGTTTTCATCTTTGGCAATTTTTCTCAATTTTCCCATTACTTTACTTTAAACTTATTCAGGTGTCCAAATAACATATTGGTTTTTAATGGTTACGTTCCATTTATTCGTGTGGAATCCGTTGTGATAGACATTAATGTGGAATAAAGCTCCTATTCCTTGCTTTTTGTTTTCATGTTTTCTTTCGGGCCTTAATTGCTCTCTTCCCACTTCAATGGCAGCGAAACATGTTTCTCAACAAGGATAATAACAACAACTTAGAAAGAACGCATGCTGAGGCTTTTTACAATTATATCTCATCCTTATATTTTGTTAAGTTTGGTACAAATCAAAACTATTGCTAAAAATATCAGGGCTGAAAACGACTGTTTTTATAAGAAACGTTTACCAATGTATTTTGAAATATTATTTTGAACAATTTCAAACTTGTTATTTTTCGCACATATTGACAAATTAGCTTATTTAGAGGGCACGATTTGATTGTTTAATTGCACAAACATCCTTTTTATATCACGTCAAGATTCCACTATTATACAGTAAATACGCGAAAAGTACTTATTTCTCATTTGCAATCGACGCCTTCTTCGTTGATTTTCGTGGCAACTAAAAATCTATATTCTTCATTCTTTGCCGTATTGTGCCAGAAATTGTAAACTATCCATAATACAGTAAAATATTTTCAAAACAAACCAAAATTATTAAAGTAACTCAACTATTTCGATGTAAACGGCTGGACAAAACTTTAAAATCAACCAAGATGGCGCATAATGACTCGTAGTGACGTCATGTGCATGCAAAGAATAGGGTGTCTGAAATTGTATTGAATGGGGTATGGGCAAATTGTTTCAGCACTGCAGTGAAATCACAGGGTCGCCGATTCGATTCCTGCAAGAGGGCTGATAGTCGCATTTTTCGAAAATGATATACAGGTTATATACAATAGTTGACCCATTCGCAGTCGAACTGACAATTAGTTTTCTTCATTACAAATAACTTTGTGTTATTCTAATTTCTATCAACGTTGTTAATTGGAATGTATTTTCGAATCCCAGGCGCAAATTAAATAGCACAGACATTGAAATGCTAGTATGCAGCAGAATTATGCAAATTGTAGTGTTTGCATGTTTTTTGATACACCCTGTATTGATTAGGATAAAAAGTCCACTGGAGATTCCATCTACAAATCCCTTGAACAATTCAAGCGAGATGTTTAAAGGTAGGGTGCAGTCCGTATGTAAACGAAACCTGTGTTTACATTTCTGTATTCAAAATATCGAACTTTATTCGACCAGGATACAACAATCATGCTTTCCAAGAACATAAAATGAAATAAAAACCTAATTAAAGTGTTTATATCATGGCAAGAGACTCCAATGTGCGCATGCGCAGACCGGGGGCGCTTTCCATTTGAACAAAAAATCCAGTTTGCGGTTCCGGAATGTCCAGTGGCTAAATGGAACGCTAAAGCGTGATAGGCCTTGTAAATAATGGAAGGCTTGTTGGGAGCTTTCCATTTGACGGAAGTTCCGGAAATCTTGCCTGAAAATCAAATGGAACACCTTAAATTCTGGAATGATGTTTCTTTAACTTCGATTAGAGTTTGACACTGCCGCTTAAATCTCTTCTTTCAGCATTCGGCGAAATAAATCCAGACTCGAGGCACTGAAATGGTCGAGAACGCGCTATTTTGGTTTTGGTAGCGGTTTTTCCTCAAAAACTTTTGGAAAGCAGAAACGTTGGTTGCGAAATGTTTTAATGGAATATAAAAATTTCGAAACTTCCGGAATTTCCAATTTGTGGACAACCTCGAGAGATTGTCCGGAATTTTCGAATCAGCATAGCAGAAATTAACGTGTTCCATTTGATTTTCAAGCGAAATTTCCGGAATTTCCGTCAAATGGAAAGCGCCTCGGACTGTATCCTATTTTTAAAACTCCGGATAGATGAATACTTAGCATACCTATGAGACTAGTCCATACTAAAAACTAGAACAAGTCAACAATTATAAAGAAAAGTAAATATATGTAAGACTTGTTTTATGATGTTTTAGTCCACATCTTAGCAAGGCCGTAGCTAGAATCAGTAGCAAAAATTATTCAGACAACCGCAAAAATGCCCCTCTCACCTCCAATTCAATGTTGTGTGAATGACTAAAAATGAGAAAACTCAACCCATTTTTTCCAATATTGATCATGGGGCAGGGGGAGGTCGACGTACTTTAAAATGGTCAAAAATGTGACAAGTCTCATTATTTTTGCACGCGATTGTCGGAGATGGAACAGTCTGGGTGTTAACTGTCCAATATTTGAAATTTTGCCAAACCCTAGCGATCAAGTTGACATGAAATTGGCATATTTCAATCAATTAATCGAAAGTTTTTTGTCCCCAAAATGTAGAAATTCTGCAAGGAAGTTGAGCGGGGGACTGGGCTAGAATAAACAAGCTTTTCTAACGAATTTAATATTTTAACTATCATTTGCTTACTAGAGAAAAATATTTGGGAAAATAGACAAGCTGTAGGCTAAATACGGACTATTAATTAAAACACTTTGCGATATAGTAAGGCACATCCAAAAAGCCACAAAAATATAATATAGTGTTTTAACTACTCTTACGTCCTTTCAAGCTCAATTAGCCATCATTTCCTGAGGATGGATTCATTATATGACTGTTCCTCAGCTTAGCCATATGACGAAAAATAAGAAAGGTTTGTAATTTATACTACAGCAGTATGTGTTGTTGTGCTTGTGGGATGTTCACCATCTAATCTAAAGTGATTAGTTCATGTAAATTTTATGCACTTTGCTTCATCAAGCAAACGCTGACAACACCGCGGAAAAACGTCTGCGCATGCACCAAATTATGAAATTAAAATATGGCAGGGAATTTGAATATCAATTCCTAAAACAAAAACATGCTTATTAATTGGGCAAAAATTAGTAAAAAAAAACGAGAAAATATAGCAAATGGGTAGACTAGACATTTATTGAAAGCGTCCTGGCATTTAAAGTATGGAATGAAATCTAATTCATGTAAAAAATTGTTGATTTTAACGGACTATTATTGCACTATTATTCAAAACAAAAATTCAAACTAAAAGGTTAAGAAAACTCTCGAAAAGTTAAGCTTCTTAACCCACTCAAATTGTAGAATAAATCCTAAAGTTTAATTATTGTGAACACGAAAATTTTTTATATTTGGCGACATGTACAGTTTTTTTTAGAGAAATGTATCGCAAACGAAAATTCGGAAATTGTCGTTGCTTAGTTGATAAACAAGATGTTTCAGGCGATAAATTTGTCAATAATCACCTTTAGTTCATGTTCTTGTACAATACAATTTCTTGAACCTTCTGGCTGTATTTATTCCTAGTTTTTAGAATGACATGTTTATTTTTGCGCTCGAAATCTGGCTGTAAAGACGCACAATAAAGTCACTCCTTTTTAACGCCATTTTGAGTCTTCGGAAACGTTCGGAACAGCTTCTCATCAAGTTCACAATACTATTACAGGTAAGGTTGACGCATGCGCAGACGTTTTTCCGCGGTGTTAACACAGACACGTTTATACACACACGTTACACTACACGTTACACCTACTTTACATAATAATCCATAGTACTAGAAAATGCATGCCAGCAGCAACCCCTCGCCTTTCTTAAAAGATGAAGTATAAAAACTCCACATAAAGTATTAAGACCATTATAACGAACATGAAAACACAACTGATGCGCTAGCTTTATAATGAACGATAACATTCACTGCAATTTCATGCATACCAGCTTACATTAAAGTGAATTATCGAGTTAAGAATGGCTTAAAAATTTCGCAGATATGAATAAAACCGAAAGTCCGGCATGGAATTTTACTTCTGAAATGTTTACACTTACCCAAACCGGCACAACAACGATTAAATTATCAAAGACATCTGTTTTGAACAGTTGACATTTTTATTACGTTTTTATTAATTAAAGTTCCGTTAAGTTAATTATTATGTCATCGACGCACGATATGTAATTTAACACGAGACATTTAAGTCGAGATATAGAAAAGCTAAAATGAGTCACACTTTTAAACAGAGCAAGTAAAACGATTTTATAGAGAGTTCGAGCGTGAGGAGATCCACCCTTCAGGTACTATTTTATAGTTTTATAGTTCCGTGAACAGTCTTTAGTGTTATTTGTTTTATTAGTTAACTTTATAGTCGATTTTAGCGAACATTTTATTATTATATTATCTTTATTGTAAAAATATGATCGGAATGTGCATGTTATATCTTTGTAAATTTGTGATTTTTAGAATTAAATTAAAAGGAAATCTTCTTGCGTGTCGGAGTTTGTCTCCCTGGCATGTGTCCAACTTCTGAAGGAATAAAACAGTTTAGTGCCGAATTAGTAGGCAAATAAAGGAACAGATAATCGATTGTTTATATATTTGGCAAGCACAATGCCCGAGGGAGAATCAAGCGAAGCTTCGATAATAGATCTAGATAATAGTTCAAGCGAAGCCAAGTTGAAAAACAAACGTAAACAAGTTCGAGGGAAGATTACTCGCAGTATAAAGCGTCTAAGCGAAGGAGTTTCGAAAGAAGATCGAAATTTACGGCGTTTTTGAGAAGGAAATCGAGCAATTACCACAGGACTTTGAAGTTGCGCGTGAGTTACACGCCAGTTTTACGATTTACCCGACGTAGATGTTAGTATATTAGACAGGTGGGAAGACGACTTAATGAATGATATGTTTGGGATCGAAGAAAGAGTCAAAGAATATATTCGAGGTATTTCGAAATCAAATGGCCAAGCATCTGGAGAAAACAAGGCAACTTCCCCGCAGCACAGAATAATTCTGTGCCCACAGAGCGCGTCAGTAAATCAACTTCCGGAAGAGCCTCAAACGTCATCGCAAGTGTCAACACCGGAAGCTAATACCTCTACATTACAGCAAGAAGAAATTCAAGAGATTCCGTCGCCTACAAGCAATGTGAACAGTACCGTAGAAACAAAAATTGGTCCAATTACTTTTGACTCCTGGATAGATAAGTTAAAGGAATTCGAAGAAATTAAAGTAACATTACCAGTTGATGGATCCCAAATGTCGATTGCAGATGCGCTTTTAAATCGAGATATACCAAAAGTTACTTTGACCAAATTCTCTGGAAATCCATTGGAATACGCGGATTTTATCGATTGTAGAGTAGAATATATATGACGGAAATAGAGTTACTTTGACTTCGTTTAATAGAGTAATAAGGGCATAGAAATAGTACAAACTTGAGAATATAAACCAAATACACTATAGTTTTAGTCAATCGAGCACATGTAAATATTACTCATGCGCTAAAGTCCTGAGCTATATACTGTATACTGGAATGTTCATATCTCTTCGACATCCTCCGGGCGGCGGCGTAAGATCTCGTCCATTCTGAAATTCTGTTGGCTGCTCTCGCGGCTGAGGTTCTTATGGGTCTGTTTCTAACCGTTCTCTCTTGTTCAGTTGAATTGTTCACAACGAGGTTTTCTTGATCACAGTTGCTTATGTCCTTTTCCTCGACTTCGTTCGTTGACAGTTCTAGTGGGTACAATTTGCAAATTGGTCTGTTTGTATACCCTGTGCTTCTTCGAATGTTCGCTGCTCGGACCAAGTTATCACCTCCTCGAATGAGATCTTCAACAACTGCTAGTTTCCAGGTGGACCTCGGGCTGTCGTCATGGACTAGAACTACGTCTCCTTTCTTAATAATCTGCTTGTCTCCGCTAGAACGATGAAACTCACGTAACGAGGTTATATATTCGTGCCTCCATCTTTTCCAGGACCGTTGTAAAATGATAGCTAGTAGTTTCACTCGGTGTCGATATCTGACTCAGTTCCATAATCTGGATCTGTTAGGTCATCCTCGGAGACAGGCGTATCAAACGGTACAATGACGTGATTCTTCTTCCGTACAATAAGTGTGACGGTGTTAGTGGCTCTTCGTCGTTTATATCACTTGACACGAACGTAATTGGACGATAATTAATTTAGGATGGCTTCTACCTCCACGATGAGGGTCTGGAGTTCTTCTAGTGTTACGGATGCTCTACCGAGTGTCTTCTTTAGTGCAGTTTTTGTCAACCCAATTAAACGTTCCCAAAAGCCCCCATACCAGGGCGCTTGCTTCGGTGTAAATTTCCATTCGACTCCTTGTCTGCTGAAGGCTTCCTTAAATGATGGCGATTCGAATAATTCTTTCAGGGTTTCTGCTGAAGCTACGTAGGTGGAGGCATTATCTGAAATCATGGTAAGGGGTAGAGATTTACGACTCGAGAAACGGCGAAATGCCAAAAGAAATTTCTCCTCTGATAGATCTGAGACGATTTCTAGGTGAACGCTTCTTGTAATTGCACACGTGAAAAGACATATGTAAGTTTTTGCTTCACCGAGTTGGGTTCTGACATAGAGGGGTCGGTGCGAATGGTGCTTTTTCTTGGACTCTAATCTTTGGTAGAGGTGCGGAGTCTGGTGTTTTGAAAGGGGTACCAGTAACTTTGCGACAGGTGACGCAACGTCGAAGTAACTTCTTTACATATTGACGTATGGCGGTTATCCAGTAGCTTTGTCGAAGTGCAGTAACTGTAACATTGATTTCAGAATGCATTTGTTTACGATGGGTGTCTTGTACGATCAGTTCAGTAAATGTGCAGTTTTTTGGGAGTAAGTATGGAAATCTGGCCAGTTCACTAAGTGGGGCATTATGAATCCTCCCGCCGCAACGAAGAAATCCATCGGGATCTAGGAATAAGCGAAGCTGTCGTAACAAGGGCAGGCGAGTAGAGGATGATGATGTGAGGTTAGCGATTTCGTTGTTGTAATGTAGGATTTGACAATTTCTTTCAATGCTGCCTGTTTTTCTGTCGCGGAAATTGGTCCTACAACTCTTCGTTTATCTTTACGCATGTTCTGTACAAACCGATAGACATAGGCAGTAACAGTAGTTTTGTTAATAAACTGTATCGAGATGTATCAATAATGAGGTGAATTCCCGAATTCGCGTCGTTTGGAGTGGTTTCGCTGGGAATGGTTGTGGATGGTTCTGTGTCATTTTCTTCGAAGAGGGATAGGTTTATGGTGCGTGAGGGATTCCACAGTGACCATTCTGATTCTTGTAGTAACCATGTTGGTTCATTCGTCCATGGAGAAGATGACTGTAATTGGGATGATGTAATTCCACGGGTGAGCAAATCAGCAGGGTTTTGATCAGTTGGGCAGTGGTTCCAAGTTGATGTAGGAAACATGTCCTTTACTTCGTTAATGTGATGTAGTATGAACTGCTTTAGGAGTTTGCTGCTGTTGATCCAATGTAGCACTATTTCACTGTCAGACCAAAGTTTTACTCTTAGGTTGGGATATCTGGAACTAAGGGTATAAGATAGGAAATTGGCTAATCGTGGTCCGACTACAGCGGCCAATAATTCTAATTGAGGAAGAGTTAGTTTCTTCAAGGGTGCAACCCGAGATTTTGCCATGATGGGCGATGATTGGTTCCCATTGGTAAGGTACGCCACAGCTCCATATGCCTTGGGGCTTGCATCAACAAACACATGGATGTATGTTGTGGAAATTAGTGCAGGAGTTTGGGAAAGATATCTTCTTTGCATGCAAACGCTGGTTGCTTCTTGTAAGTCCTTTTGCAATATTTAGCCATTTGGTTTTGAGTTCAAGAGGTAGTGGTTCATCCCATTCCAGTTCTTCCACAGTTCTTGCATTAGTAGTTTGGCTTTGACAGTTAAAGGGATAAAAGTCCAAGAGGTTCGTAGATCTTGGAAGAAATTTGTAATACGTGACCCTTAGTGATAGTTGGGGGTGGTGTGTAATCCTGTGCTGGTGGGAATCTTAGAGTATCTGTTGATGGATTCCATTTCAAACCGAGGATGTTGACAGTGGTTTTAGGATCAGCTGTTCCATCCTTTGTAGCAATTTCTTGAAGTGATGGACTATTTGATGCCCAAGAGTGGAGATTGAAATGTGCATTATGCATAATAAATCTGGCATCGTTGTAGTACAGAATACTGTCCGTTTCTTGGTCACAACCAGAGATTATGGTGTCAACATAAATATTGTCCTTTATGTCTTCAGCTATATGGAGGTCGTAGTTTTCTAGTTGGCAACGGAGGGTAGCATTCAACATGAAGGGGCAGCTAGTTGATCCAAAAAGGACGGTCTTGAAGCGGAAGATATCAAATTTGCTCTCTGGGTTTGTAGGGACTGAGAGCCAAAGGAATCTAGTGAAGTCTCGGTCACTGTCATCGAGTCCGACATGGAGAAAGGCCTTCTCAATGTCTGCTGATATGCCATAGGTGAATGTACGAAACCGCAGTAAAATGGCACACATGTCATTCAGAAACGGTGGACCAGTAAGAAGACAGTCGTTCAAACTAGGAAAATTTGGTGACGAGTGAAAGCTACAGTCGAAAACAATTCTGACTGGTGTTGTTGTTGATTCCTTTCGGATAGGGTGATGTGGTATGTAATGTGCTTTGTCGGTTAGTTTGGTTTCTTCGACTTCCTCAATGAATCCTCGCTTAGTTTGTTCTTTAATAATGTTGCCATAACATTTCAGCAAATCAGGGGTAGCGGCAAGTCGATGGATCATCGCTCGAGTACGACGCTCACATGCTAGGTAGTTGTCTGGGAGGGCTGGTGCATCATCTTTCCATGGGAATTTTGCTGCGTAACTGCCATTTGGGTTTCTGGTAATTGAGGTGTTGATGTAATTTTCCAGGAAATCTTGTTGGTTTTCAGTGCGGGTTGGCGGAGTGTTGCCTATAGATTCGAGAGACCAGAATCTTTCTAGATCAAGTTCTGTTCATTGGTTCACAAGGGTGTTGGATAGTCTGGAAGGTGTTGGTAATGGCCCAGAGAGAAGATAAATAACCATGCCAAGTTTTGATGCAATAGCAGTGGGTCCTTGACCACGAATTACTTTATCTTTTACTATATCCCAGTAATGGTCGGCTCCGATAAGCAGTGATATACGAAAGTCCTCTTAAGCTGTAGTAGGATGGCCTAGGGTTAAATTCTTCAGGTGGGGCATATCGTTTATATGTTGACTAGGTGGAATTTGGAGGGGCGTTGCTATCTCCTCAACTACAAGAACTTGTAATGGAATTTGTTGTCCAGTACGGGTGATGATATAAACAGTAGCAAGTGGTAGGTGACGTCTAGCTGAGGTTTGGGCTCCAAAGGCTGATAGTGCAATTTCCTCTGTTTGGGAGGACATAACTCCAAGCTGGTTTGCTATGTCAGTAGTAATAAAAGACCGTTGAGCTCCTTCATCAAAAAGAATATTGGCATCACAATGAAGTTGCCCAGTGCTCACAGTTGCAGTGGCTGTTTTCAAAAGCGAAACATGTCTTACTGTTGGAGAATGGGTGGATGGGACCAGAGTTGCATGGGTGGGTGTTGGCTGTGGTGTATTTGGAGTAGCGGGAAGGGCTTATTGATTGTGTAGATTTTGGTGGAAGGGAGGGGGTGGAGGTGTTATTGGAGGGGGGTTAGGAGGCATCATTGAATGAGGGCATAGGGTGGTGTGGTGTTTCCCCTTACGTTTCAGACAACGGAACTTGGATTGGCAGTTTGATGATTTATGATTTCCCAAGCAATTGAAACACAGCTTTTCCCCTTTCGCGATTGTCCACCTCTCTTGGCAATCCTTTACAACATTACAATTGTGGGTGGGGTGAGGACCCTTGCAATATACACATCGTTTAGTAGTGTGTCCCGGTTTGTATCTTGTGGTATGATATTGGTTTCCTTGTGTTTGTGTGAAAAACGAACCTGCTGTTGTGTGTTTAGGTGATGGCAATGTAGCTTGCATTAGATTGGATTGAACACCAGCTTCTAGATTTTTTATTTCTTTACGAATGGACTCTCTCAGTTGTGCAAATTTCCATTCGGGACTGTCATGGTCACAGGCTAAGTTTGTTCTGAGTTGATGTCGTAATTTTCCAAGAACAATTGCGACTAGGAGGTCTCCATAGTTACTGTGGGATTTGCCGAGTGATTCTAATCCCCTAATGTGGTTTTCCATAGTGTCATAGAATAGTTGTAAACTCGCTAGTTCATAGTTGGGGTTTTGCAGATCAAGTAGACACTGCATGTGTGCATTAATTACTTTGGTGGGGTTACCAAATCGTTCCTTTAGGAGTTGAATAGCTTTGGTATAGTTATGCTTTGTGAGGGGAAACCCTGCAATAGCTTTTGATGCATCACCCACCAGTTGGGCCTTAAGGTAACTAAACTTTTGTACGTCCCCGAGGGTTGAATTGGAGTGCACTGCAGCTTCAAATGAGTCCCAGAATGAAACCATTGTAGCGGGTTCCCAGAAAATGTTGGAAGGTTTAATTTTGGTAGACGACTATTTTGATTGATAGGGCTGGGGTGGTGGGTGTAGTTGTTGGTAGGGTTGGTGGAAATACTGGTATAACTGGGGTCTCTTGGTGAAATTGTGTGTTTGTAGCGGGGTGACCATCTTGTTGTGACTGTGCATTTGTAGAGGGTTGACTATCTTGCTGTGATTGTGCATTTGTAGAGGGTTGACTATCTTCTTGTGATTGTGTGTTTACAGGGGGGAAATTATTTTGTTGAACAATTTCATTAGTGGTCCCTGAGTCTATTTGATCATTTGTGTTCACTGTTGTTGATGGAGATTGACTGCTTGTATTTTCTAAGATTACTTCAGTTACTTCAGAGGGGGAGTTACTTTGAGACAATTTTGTAAGATTGAAAATGTTCAATAGCGTTACTTATCTGAGCTGCTGTCTCGTCAATTTCTTCTTTGATGTCCTCGATCGGTTCGGAATATTACTTTCTCCAGTTCCTTTGGGTCTTCGATCATCCCTACGATTTTCTCATCTAGTTCTTCTAGAATCGACCTTTTCCGAGCTAATTGATCAACGATTCTCTTTAAAGATGTAATATCACTGTCCGTTAGGGGGTCCTCCTTTGTTGCAATATTTGTAGCTTTCTTGATTGTTTGTGTCAAATGGGCCCGATAGCCCGCTCCCGATGCTTGACGTTTTGGTAGATTTTTCGCCATAATCCTAGTCACGGCACCAATTAATGTAGAGTAGAATATATATGACGGAAATAGAGTTACTTTGACTTCGTTTAATAGAGTAATAAGTGCATAGAAATATTACAAACTTGAGAATATAAACCAAATAGACTATAGTTTTAGTCAATCGAGCACATGTAAATATTACTCATGCCCATGCGCTAAAGTCCTGAGCTATATACTGTATACAGGAATGTTCATATCTCTTCGACATCGATCGCTTTAAGATACATATCCATGACAAACTCCATCTCACCGATGATATGAGAATGATCCAGCTGAAAATGCACGTCAGTGGTGATGCAGAAAGAGCAATTTCGGGATTAGGTTCGAAAGGAGTAATGTATGCGACACCTTGAAGATGATCAAAGAACAATTTGGACAACCAAGCGTAATTGCCCGTGCGCTAGTGAGCAACGTCACCAAAGGAGGGAAAATTGGTAGAAGTGACACGAAGAAATTGCGAGAGTTCTCGATCGACCTTATCAATTGCATGGCCACGATGAAACGCATTGGATATACAGCAGATATCAACGCCAACGAAAATTTACGAAAGATCATCACACGCTTACCAAACCACATGATTGAAAGGTGGAAAGTCTTCGTGGTGGACATTCGTGAGAAAGTTCAGACACCTGCAGTCAGCCATATAAGTGAATACGTGAGAAAGAGAGTAAAGGCAGAGTTTGATCCTGATTTCGGCGACCTACAAAGAGATTCGAGACCCCCAAGAAGTGACCATCCTACCCCGAGAAGAGGCATCTACGCCGCCGGTCGTGATTCAAACAGATCGCCAATGAAATGTTACGTATGCGAAGAAGAGCACCGTGTCATTGAATGCCCAGTATTAGCGAAAGCATCAGTTCCTGAAAGACTAGAACTAGCGAAGAAAGCAAGACTGTGTTTCTCGTGTTTGAATCGTGGACACTCCAAAACATCTGCGACACTTCCAATTACTTGTCAAAATATCGTAATATTATCGTAAATTTAGAAAACCTCCTCCTTTCCCCCACCAGTGTCGCAGATGTTTTGTCCAGGATTGTAGCATGATGCCCGTAATCAGAGCCAGATTCAGAGTCCCCAACGGTCGAGTTCGTGAAGGGAACGTGTTGATTGACAGTGGTGCTGGAACGACGGTTACTCGTAAGCATTTTGAAAAAGATCTCGGATTGAATGGGAAAAGAGAACGGATCGATTTAGCGGTAGTCGGAGGAGAGAAATTAGAGTGCAAGCAGTCAATTGTCCGTGTCCTAAGTCAAACCTCTCTCTCGATGAGAAACGAGCCATGGAGCTAATGGAACGATCATGGAAGCTCGATGACAACCGTTATGTAATCGGTCGTCCGTGGAAAAGAGACAAGAACTTGCTGTCTGATAACCGTTCCCTAGCAGAAACACGACTTCGATCCCTAGAAAAGAGCCTCAGCAAGAATGACGTAAAAGCGAGAATGTATGATCAAGCGTTAATGCAATACGCAGAAAACAACTGGGCAATACCCGTCAGTGAAGAAGATCTTAAGGTTGATAGGAAACCATTCTACTACCTACCACATCATGGAGTCTATCGTCCGGACAAGAAGAGTACCCCGTTACAAGTGGTCTTTGACCCAGCGACTTCCTACCTTGGCATGTCTTTGAATTCCTTCCTTTTCAAAGGTCCTGGTCTGATTGGCAACCTGCTCGGAGTGCTTCTACATTTCCGTGAAGAACAAGTTGCTTTTAGTGGAGACATATCCAAGATGTTACTTCAGATCCTACTGTTGGAAGAAGATACCCATGTCCATCATTTCCTTTGGCAAAACCTTGATGCGACAAGAGAGCCGACGACATACGCCCTCCAAAGAGCTATGTTCGGAGATAAGCCCTCTACCGACATGGCGAGCTTTGTCATGTTGAAAATGGCAGAAGCAAACGAGAAAGAATGTCCTCGAGCTGCTACGATCCTGAAGCGTGATAGATACGTAGACGATCTAATTCATTCGTGTCCAAGTACGGACGACGCAGTAAAGAGCATTGAAGAAGTGGACAAACTTTTGTCAACAAGAAGCTTCAAAATTAGAGAATGGTTATGTTTCTCTACAGTCCAGAAGGCAAATGAGAGTGAGCAGCTAAAAGTAGCAAATGGTAGCGAGAATAATTCACACCCTGTCACACCAATTGTAAATCTGGACGGCGAAGAAGAGAACAAAACGCTCGGTGTAATATGGAATCCGAAGAGAGACGTAATCGGGTTTGCTTCGAAAGAAGTAAAAGTCGAAAGACTGACAAGGAGATCCGTCCTTTCAAATATCTCGAAACTCTACGACCCACTTGGTTTAGCATCTGCAGTAACGATAAAGGCGAGAATAGCCTTACAGAATATTTGGAAAGCAAAGCAATTTGATTGGGATGACACTCTTCCCGAAGTTATGAGCGACACTTGGAAGAAATTGTTCAAAGAAATCGAAAGTCTCAAGAAAGTCGAGTTTCCGAGATGTCAACCGAAAGAAACATCTGGTCCTTCCGAGTTGCACGTCCTCGCTGATGCAAGCAAATATGCTTATGGTGCCGTAGCGTATTTGGTTTGGACGACCCCCCATGGTTTCTATGTTAGTCTTGTGTCTGCGAAAGCAGGAGTGGCCCCACTACAACACACTACCATCCCGAGACTGGAGTTGATGGCTGCACTAACCGCGTCTATACTCGCTCACACCATTGTTGAAGAATCCAAGTTAAAGCCCTAGAGCGTCACATTTTGGTCAGATTCTACCATAGTACTCAGTTGGTTATGTTCGGAATCGACTTCATTCAAGCCGTTCGTTGGAGTTTGAGTGGCCGAGATACAAAAAAGTTGGAGACCAAGTTCATGGCGATACGTCCCATCCGAAGAGAATCCAGCTTATGATTTAAGTCGCGGTATTACGGTAGAAGAATTGAGTTCAGGTCGTTGGATTAACGGTCCATCTTTCCTCTCGAAGCCAAAGACCGAGTGGCCATGTGAAAGAAAAACAGAACCGGACGTTCGAAGTGAAGTTCGCAAGAAGAAAAAGTCCCCAAACTCCTTGGCAGCAATTGTGAAACCCCAACCTCTGTTAAATCCAGAGCATTTCTCAGATTGGGACAGATTAGTAAGAGTGACTGCTTATTGTCAACGTTTTGTTAAAAACACTAAGTATACGACATAAGATCCATCAAAGACCACAAAAGGAGAACAATGTGCCAAGAGGAAAGTGGAACCTTGATCGAGTCCTAGAAGTCTTTCCCGGAATGGACGGTGTAGTGAGAAACCTGCGTCTCAAGACACAGAATAGAGAACTGAAGAGATCGATCCAGAAATGCTGCATACTTTTGGAAGCGAAGTAAGATTACATTCGTGAGTGGCGCCCCCGGAGGGTATGTTTTGAACAGTTGACATTTTTATTACGTTTTTATTAATTAAAGTTCCGTTAAGTTAATTATTACGTCATCGACGCACGATATGTAATTTAACACGAGACATTTAAGTCGAGATATAGAAAAGCTAAAATGAGTCACACTTTTAAACAGAGCAAGTAAAACGATTTTATAGAGAGTTCGAGCGTGAGGAGATCCATCCTTCAGGTACTATTTTATAGCTTTATAGTTCCGTGAACAGTCTTTAGTTTTATTTGTTTTATTAGTGAATTATATTTTCGAACATTTTATTATTATATTATCTTTGTTATTGTAAAAATATGATCGGAATGTGCATGTTATATCTTTGTAAATTTGTGATTTTTAGAATTAAATTAAAAGGAAATCTCCTTGCGTGTCGCAGTTTGTCTCCCTGGCATGCGTCCTTAGCAACATCAACATCAAAACATCAAAACAATTATTATACAAACTTTGTTTCACGGTTAAACAGCCACCAATTCATGAAACTGCAGGCTTATTTCCAGTTAAAATCGAGAAAAAAAATCGTGTTGGACTTTTGTAAACTTTTTAACGAAATTTAAAACAAAAAATTGCTGTAAAACAGCAATATACGTACTTTTAAAATGAAAAGCAATTACTTCGATAGAATTTGTACTCGCGTATGCGCATAACGTGTAAAACCCTCCATGGCTTAACATAAACAAAATGGAGGATAACTTCGCTATGTAATCAAATACCCGGTATAATTAGCCGTGCGGAATTAGTAATCTCGCACGGCTATAATATATATATTTAGCCGTGCGGAATTAGTAATCTCGCACGGCTATAATATATATATATATATATATATATATATATATATATATATATATATATATATATATATATATATATATATATATATATATATATATATATATATATATATATATATATATATATAGATATATATATATATATATATATATATATATATATATATATATATATATATATATATATATATATATATATATATATGTTTTACCTCGGATTATTATGTAACGTGTGGTGGTGTAACGTGTGATGTAACCGTTGTAACGGGTGTGCAGCGTGTCTAGTCAGTACGAAAAAATAGATTGATATTTTGCGCATTTGCGACCAGATTTGCTTGAGCTCATCTCAAATAGTCCCAAAATCAAAGGAGATGGAAGTTTGCAATAAATTTTAGTGTAAATTTAGGATCGGTAAGTCAGTATATAGTAACATAAATAAAAATCTTGAATTGGGTTTAAAATCTAGTGAGTATGTCAATCTTACTTACCAATTCAGCAAAAGAAGGAAAATCATTGAAATTTTTCCAAAATTGAATGTAAGTGGGTCAGAAGGCATTGTCTGTTATAAAATTCTTGAACTTAAGGCTACTCCACATGATGGAAACCCATTTCACCAAAATGCTCACCGCGCGCTCAATTTTCAAGTTTTCCCCTTCAAATTTTGTATGCATAATGATAAATCATTGCTGTAGCTAAAGATTTGCCAAAATTTCTACACCTTTAAAAACTGTACTTGCTACGGTTTGCTTTTGAAAATATGACGGCCTTTGAGCCACGAAATTAGAACGCTTCTGATTTACCTCAAAGGCTTCCGAAACATAATATTTCCCATCTCAAATTATCAAAGAACAAAACCGTGTTCGCGTTTTTTGACAGATATTATATTTGCTTTGATTAAGCAGAGAAGTTGACTCATCTAAATTTTGGGAGAACGGCAGAATAGATGCCTATAACTTGAAAAGTATGGCACTAAATAAATAACGCGAACACGGTTTTGCTGCTGTACTATTGTTCAATATTGTGGCAAAGTTTGGAGAGAATCGGATAAAACCTGCGCGTTTCTAAACAATTTTTGTGGGGACAATCTGAGAATATTTCAATCTCCGTTAAAGACGATATTAGGTTTGGCGGGGGTTTTCCGCTCTCTGTTATCACTTCGAACTGTAATCGGATTAAAATTAGTAAAGTGTGTTTTGGCAAGGATTTTCGGTGTCATTCACTCATCATCAGTTTATCACAAACCGTACATGCGAGAAACCACGCGAAAAAACTTGCTAATATGCCGGCGAAACGCAAATGTAAATAAGGGATAGCTATACAGACCGATCTAAATCGGCCAAACAAAAATACAGTTGAAGATCTGTCATGCACCACGAAGACACAAGCGAGGTTAAAGGTCACATATCCGGTATCGAGTATCACATTACGCCACATATTGTCAATTACAATTACAACTTTTGCGGCAAAGGAATCAGTGGTTATAACATTTTTTGTTATATTTCGGACGCATTTAATATTTTTGAAAAAAACTTCCTGCAATCGATAGATCTCCTATCCCTGAATATAAATCAATAAAAATGTAAAAAATGATGACATCAGTGTTTTCATCATATAATGTAACCTTAATTAAAGGAAAAATTCTGTTTGAGAGAAAAAAATATGCTGATTATTGTCCGCCATGGGAAAAATTCAACCCACTTTTTCCAACATTGATCATGGGGGCAGGGGGAAGGTCGACGTACTTTAAAATGGCCAAAAGTGTGACAAGTCTCATTATTCTTGCACGCAATTGTAGACAGATAATTGGGATGGGGAGGGGGGTATTCATATATTCGTGTTCTGCCCGTCGGATTTCTTCTGAAAGCGATTGTTTTACGGTATGAGAACATGAATACATGTATATAAACCACCGCCACCCGACCCCCCACCCCAATTATCTCGTCTATAGCTATGACTTGGCATAGTTTTCAAGGTGTTTTCAAATTTTCTCGGGTATGAATTTGTTTATATTTTGGTCTACACTACTTTAATGTATAGTATACCAATAACCTTTAACTAAAAACTTGATTGGAAAATACTAAGAATAAAATTCATCAGTTTATACGAAGCCTGGTCCCTCATCGGCGGTGAATTGCGTACCCCTACTCTCATAGCAGGCTTTATTTTTTATAACAGCCTAATTGCTTGGTCAACGGCTTAGACATTGCATTTGGTTGTTATTGACTTAGACATTGCAAGAATTTGATTAGGGCAAAAGACCATAAGCATGCGAGAACGACTTGTATCACTTTTTGCGCGACATAAATAGATAGCGAATTGTAATGTGCTTTCATTAAGTTACGAAACTATTGCATTAGTGGTTGAACTGTGCCTGTGATATATTGAAATAACCTGAGGATTTTTAAGAAAAATGTATTTGTCGACTTTTGACTTTTGTCATCTAATACAATTATAACTGACATGCATCTTTATGTATTATTGTATACATAGATCTGGGCAACTTCAAAGTATTCAATTAGTCTGTATCAAGATATGATGGCCTAGCTGGATAGTAAACAAAATTCACTGTGTTATGTTTTTGTCTGAATTGATGTTAATTCATTGTATTTTCATACAATTCGACTAATAGTCCAATAGGAATAGCTGAGATGAAACGTGCAACTGTGCATGATGAACAATATTTAATGAAGTTGAGACAAAGAATTTGTGCACGAAGAGGTAAAGTTCAACATCAAACAAAGTCTTCTAGTTTGTAGCTTTGACATTTGCCTGGCTTCCAGACCATCATATCTTGACAGACTATGAAACTATACAAAGTACAACTAGATTAATAATACGATATAACAGATAATAATAAAACAGCTGGCTGTGGCAGGTATATTCTTGGCGTAGTTTCCACTTTTAAGATCGTTCACTATAAAATGAAAGAATCCATATGCAATTTTATTGACCGCGTACGAAACTACTCTTCAGTGATTATGCTTGTAAGCCTTAATATCAAACTCTATTTTCTCTTCCTTAAATGCGCATGGAGGGAAGAGAAAAGAGGGCCTGACACAAATATCTGTCCTCATGTAAAAAAGCCAAAATATTGCTTTTCACGTGATTAGTCTATCAGACAAAAAAATGTAATCTATTTTTTATTGGTTATATATGGTACTAAATAAGTTATAATATTGTTCCGCATGATATTATTTAGTAGTTTTAACTATAATTAATTCGACCGTAAATGTTGTTGTTGTGTAAAATTGTCATTCCTCTTAAGGTATTTTGATTGAATACTAAAATAGCCTACATATACTTCCCTGTCGGCGGAGGCTAACCTAATTAAAAGCTTGTGTCGGCCTCTGTTTGTAAAATAGAACCTGGTACTCAGGCTATGTTAATTAATATTATACATATAGCCGAGATTAATAATTAATATGCTTATTAGCTGCCTGAATGTTTGAAATATTTCATTTCTACATGCATTTAAAAACGACTTCAAACACACGATGCATAACTTGTTAAAACAGCTTTTATATGAAAACTACGGCAAATAGTGAAAGCCAATTTCATTTTTTGTTTTGCTAAGTGTTTTCTGCATGAGTGAATTATATTAATAATGAGATACATTCTAAAACTTTTCATGCGGTTGGTCTTTTTTCTCTTTGTATTTTTTATAATCTTTGTTTAGGTTTCACTAGAAATCATTCAGATACTATTATACCCACAGTGTACAAACTTAATTTGATAATTCTGCTCGCAATTGTCATGATACAAATTGTTCGTTTGGACAACATCTGCTACATACAAAACATACTTACTTGGATATACATACTCCAACTCCATAAGAAATGATAACCTTTCGCCCCTTATAACACTTCAAACCACTATCACATGTTCCATGCATGTTCCAAAGTCCACCACATTTCTCCCCTCCGACTTTGGCGCACACGTCACAACAGCCACATATACTTCGTGTGAGTCCACCTTTGCACTTTAGTTTGTTTGCCGGAGTGCATGTTACTTCTTCACAGCGAAGACAACTGAGGGCTTCAATTGTTGCGGGTATGGCTAACACCACAAAGGCAACGAGGAAGATTGTGGTCTTCATTCTCTTTTTTGATTACGATTTCTATGCAAAAACCAATTATTTATTTTAATCATAATGCTGACTGTATAATATCATGTTTCTTTATTATGCATCGCCCGCACCCTATAGGCAATTCCAGCTTTCAGTTTATGCCTGCAGGGGATGATGGGAAGTAAGGTATCATATTGCTGATTATGCCTGAACCTATATGCGTTTCTAGCTGCCAAAAGGTACCGTCTGATCCACTCCTTTTTCTACTTTTGTAATATAATATCTTTTAAATATAGTTGTAATTTATTCATATTTCTATGTCTTGCGCTTTGTATGTCATTGCTCTGAAGATGTCTTAAGTTAAAGACGAAACGTTAGCTTTCTAATACCTATTTTAAACTATATTTTGTTGCGTAAAATTTAATGCTGATGAACAAAATTTGAGAATGCAACTGCACTAAATATAAGTTGGTGTAAAGTTAGGTCAGTCTGTATAAGAAATTTTCGATAACCACTGAGTATTCTAATATAAAATACAAAACAATGGAAACTCCGAATAAATTCATATTTTTAATTCAACGTTTCGACTACTGTTGAGTCATCATCAGGATATTTGAAAGCTACTAAAATTTTACAAGTTTTAATAAGTACAGGTGCGATATAAGATGATCTAATCTGTCAACAAGTTCTAATTAAAGATAACAAGTTCTTTTGACGCTTTAGTCCCATGGTTTAAGTCAGGATGCTGTCTGTGGATATGTAAAGCTTCTTTATATAGTAGAATTACAGTATTGATTATCATAGATTTATCAATAATTACAGTATTGTTAAGAACAATTTGAGGTAGTAGGCCTAGTTCTAGGTTGTTAAAAGATAGAACTAATAGTGGATTTAAATTATAAAAGTGTTCACACGAATTGATATGTTGTCCCTGCTGCTCACATTCTTATGTTGGCAAAACAGATAGATGCCTTATCACTAGCTTAATGGAACATTCTGATTCGAAAGACTCTGAGATTTTTAGACATATTAATTCGTGTGAACACTTTTATAATTTAAATCCACTATTAGTTTTACCTTTTAACAACCTAGAACTACTACCTCAAATTGTTCTTAACAATACTGTAATTATTGATAAATCTATGAACTGGTCGCTTCTTCTATATAAAAAAGCTTTATATATCCACAGACAGCATCGTGAATTAAACCATGGGACTTTAGCGTCAAAAGAACTTGTTATCTTTAATTAGAACTTGTTGACAGATTAGCCGCGATCATCTTATATCATGCACACCCATACTTATAATATAACTTGTAACATTTTAGTAGCTTTCATAATTCCTGATGATGACTCAACAGTAGTCGAAACGTTGAATTAAAAATTTGAATTTCTTCGGAGTTTCCATTGTTTTGTATTTCTGTATAAGAATATATGTAGCTATAAGACTATATGTGAAATAGAATCAGAAAATTCCCAAGTTATACAAATTTCAGTTATATTCATCCTTCAATTTGACAAAACAAAAATCTACGGAAAACATAGCCTATATATAGCAAGCAGCGACAGTAAAATATTTGAGCACATAATTTAGGCTCCAACAGCTAGTCTAACGATTAACACTATTGTTGACCCTTGAAGGACTTGAAAGCTGCATGAAATTCAGCAATTATAAATCAGCAATACTTACCTGAAAAGATTAATTCACTGACTACTGAATAGTGCATTCCCTGTAGTTGTACCAAATGAAGAGTCCAAGATATTCTGATTATGTCTGTTACAAACAGATACTTTTAAAAGCACGGAAATTACAATAACAGGAAGACGTACAGTATGATTGCTGGCGCATATTCTCATGGAAATGACAGCAAAGACAATAGTTAATTGAACCAGTTTCAGCTCAAACCTTCTAGTTTGATTTTAATCAGATCTTCCTGGCTTCCAAAACAATAGACTTAATTATGTTCATATAATTCATTCACTTCCTTTCTGTATCCAAGACATCTCACTCAATTTAATATATTTACTATAGACATCAATTGTCCTAGCTTTAGGCATTTCAGCTATTTTTGCCATTTTTTTTAGCGATTGGATTCAAATTGGGTGTTTCGTCTGGCAGTTTTTACTCCGGGCAAAATGGCTGTTTAGGTTCGATACATCTGTAATCTAGTTTAATAAGTTATTTTATTTCAGCAATACCTACATAAATTATAAGCTATCTAGGAACGGCAGGCGACCCAGTTAATCGTAGACAAACCCAAAATTTGGGACATTTTCCCACACATTTTAAACGTACACTAAGAAAAATTATTGACCTCATACAGCACGTCATACCAACAATTTAGAATAATATTATATACAGATGAAGAAAATAATGAACATTGACAAAGAATTCAAGTTAAACATTGCTGGCGAATATTTAGGGCAGTATAATCATGCATGCAGAAACTCATCAAGCTATACTTGAGCGTTTTGGATTCTTTAATCTTAAAATATATTTGTCGCTATACTGTGTTTCACGCTTCTTTCGAAGCGATCTTCAGGCAATTGAAGTTGTTCCTGTTCACTAAAAAATACTTACTTACGGTGATTAACATATATAAAAATTATAAATGCCAAATCGTGATGATTAACATATATACGGCTGAAGAAGACATGTTACTGTCGAAATGGTATACAAATTCGGCATGGCTTTGGTGAGTGGCCATGTGGGTGTGCAGGAATGGTTGTGACTGGTTGGGTTCGAATATACCATCGGGCTGATAGCTCAGTTGGTAGAGCGATGGGCTTGTAACCCAGAGGTCGCCGGTTCGAATCCGACTCAGTCTCAACTTTTCCTGTTCACTAAAAAATACTTACTTACGGTGATTAACATATATAAAAATTATAAATGCCATATCGTGATGATTAACATATATATATATATATATATATATATCAGATTTCACATTCCAGACATATTATTTGAAAGTTGTGTAAATTAAAACACAATGATTTATTCATTGTTACTCAATCTTGACACACCATTTAGTTAAGCGGTTATATATGCGTATCTACCCATGATACTTAATATTAAGCATGTCATTCAATTTACCATGTTAAATAAGACTTTAACCACTGTCCTGACATCATGTTAATTCAAACAATTGTTTACGTCAGAAGAGCGATAGTATTAAAGCCTCGTTATAAATTATAAACTTATTATAATTATTAAGCTAGCAATTGCATGGACATTGATGTATATAATATGCATGGACTGCTGCATGTTTTTTAAAGTACAGAATGAAAGGTATAGAGCATGCACAAACAGTGTAGTTGAGGGCGCTTTAGGTGGAAATTGTCAAGTGTAAATTTATATAGGCTACATTTAATATAATAATACCTATAAACATGCAGAACAGCTTTCAGGAAATGCGGCAATTATATAGGTCCCTGCATGTGTGTTACTATACTCCTGAAAAAAGTTAGCTATATGAATTTTAGTCCGTATTTAGAATAGCATCCCAATTTGGTCCTGTACTTGGCCAAAACAGCACTAAGTATAGGGGCCAAAACAGTACGTAAATATGGGGACCATATGAGCACTAAATATGGGGCCAAAACAGCACTAAAAATGCGGGTCAAAACAACACTAAGTATGAGGGCCAAACCAGCATTAGGTATAGGGGCCAATACAGCACCTAAATATGGGGACCATAACAGCACTAAATATGGGCCAAAACAGCACTAAAAATGCGGACCAAAACAGCACTAAGTATGGAGGCCAAAACGGCACTAAATATAAGGGCCAAAATAGCATTAAGAGTAGGGGCCAAAACGCCCCTCTAGGTAACAAAATTTAGAATTTCCAAAATATCATATTATACCCCCCTCCCGCCAATTCGTGACACTTTTGGAGACCCCCCTTGTTAACATTCCAGGACTGCACACTGTTTTATAGCTGTTTTGGCCATGTGCAGGGCAAAATTGGAATGTTAATCTAAGACAAGATTTATGTCACAACCGAGGCCAAAACGGATCTACAAGGGCTATTATTTTGGTGGGATTTATTATAGTAATTGTGGAACAAACATTCCACATTATTCTTATTAAAAACAATTGCTGTTAGTAATATAAAATATTCTGAGCGTCTCAAAAGGGTAAGGAATTCAAGGTCTCTGTACTAATTTTTGAAGATGTAAATGACGGTGGTGCACCTTCAAGCGAAAACTATACATTCAGTGGTATGATTGGTTAGCGACAAAACAATTGCCGTGAAAAAATAGGACGAGGTGAACTTACCTCTCTCCAAGCAATTTCGCCCAGTGGGAAAGCGGGATTTAGAAAATATGAAAATTTCTGGCTGGGACTGTGACTTTGATTCCTTGTCTTAATTTTCCATATTGCTAGCAGCCTAATATTTATAAACTGTAACATATACTTTGAAATATTTTCGGGAAAGCTCTTTATTAATAGCAGCTGTATTACCTATATAAGTTCAGCAAAACTGAAGTGAAAATGCTATGGAAGCTCTTTTTGATTGGGTGGCTGAAAGCGAGGGTCGAAGGTCCGAGGAAATTCTTAAATTTAGAGTCTCTGAGATGCCATTTCCAGGACTTTGGGAGAAGATTTGACCAAATTCTGATGGTCAGAAAACAGCGTTTTAGTATGTCGAAATTCACAATTTAGTATACTAAATGAGCGAAGCGGCGTATTTAATTAACTATATATTGGATAAGTTGCAGGAAAGTATGGGTAATATCTTCATTCTTTGCTGTTTGTCATGGATAATGTAGCCGCTTAAAATTAATCAAATGTCAGTGTTTTAAAGGTATATTATTTAGATGATAAAGGTATGCATGATTTAAAAAAAAAGAATGATTATTAGCAAAATATATATGGGGGGGGGGCGGGGCTGCAGCCCCCAGCTCCCCCGGTTGCTACGGCCCTGGATAGAGTTTAAATCAGACAAAACAGGATCGGTACTTCAACAGCCAATTTGCTTTGGCGCATGAACAACGCGATTAAGTAAAGACTACAAAAATCATTATTGTGTTAAATGATGACTAAGAATGAGATGCAATTCTAAAGAACATTCTCGTTTACTGACATGTTTGTGTGTTTTTGTCTTTCAACGTTGTTAAGATTATGCAACGCGCAAAAAATATACGGGGGGAGGGGGGGGGGCTCAGCGCCCCCGAGTCAACATGAAATTTTAACAAGGGGCTCAGCCCCCCTCCCTGATCCCCCCTCCACTACACCACCGCTATGAAAATAGGGGCCAAAACGGCCCTATCTAGATAGATTACATTGGTATCGAAGGAACTAGATTCTGTTCCGAGGTATCACTTACTAGGACCGACCAAACCGCGTAGCTCAGTTGGCAGAGCATTAGGTTAGTATTCCAAAAGTTGTATAGGTTCGATTCCCACCGGACATATTTTTCAAGCCTGCCCGGTGTGCATATACACTCAGTGTTACATCACAGACATCATATTCACCTGAGTACACAATATCAACACAGAAAAAATCGAATTATTAATTATTCTTAATTATGAATAATCAATAGAATTATTTAATTATGGTTATTTATCTTAATTATTAATAATCATTATAATCAATGTAATTTGTTCAATAACGTGTTCAAAGTAAATGAACAGAACTGCCAAGCCTAAGGAATAAAGCCTTATCATTAGCAAAACTGCAATACAATGAAAGCAACAAGTATTCCGAGATACCTTTTTTGGGCATATTTTTTCTACTTTGATGACGCAACTATATATTGTTTTTGGCATTATAATGACCTAAATGACGTATATATAATTATTTGGAAGCTGGCATTTGACAAAATTTTGGTAATGACTGCTGAAAAAATCCGGTCACATTGTATAATTTGAAGCCAACCTACAGGGCAGAGTAAACCGATTCAGTATTCTATACTCCAGCTAAATACTGCATGCGATCTCCAATATATGTTTTCCTCATGCGCATTATCCCAGTACGTTCCTACACTGTATCTCTTTATATAACTAATGAAGTGCATGAATTAGCAATAAAATCTTGATTGGTGTGCCAATAATTCGTTTTCATTATACGGTGTAAATAATGGCTAGTGTTTATGATAAGCATCCGTATTTCAATTTAGTTATACTCTTAATTACCCACCTTGTAATTTGGCTGAGCTAGTATGTAATTACGTGCATAAATAACCACCATTTATATTATTACTATTGATTTTTTGGGATGAATGAGTACACCACAAGTCTGCCACGAAGATATAATATCAGATCAATTAAACAAGACAGCGCTCTAAGACTCAGTACTAGTTAAAACATTCGCAGCCGATCTTTATCTGATATACAAACTCTAGCCGAAGGCGAGTGTTTGTATATCAGATGAAGATCGGATGCGAATGTCTTAACGTACTTAATAAATTAAAAATCTGCTGAGTTCATTGGCAAAGTAATTTTAATTTAATAAAAATAAATATAAATATTGATTATACGTTCATTTCTTATAAAGTTTCTTCATCAATTATTAACGAGTATTTTAAGGTTACAGGACACCCTTTTTGGCGTTTTGCGGAAAACCGCTAGTGCGCATTCAATATCAGTCCGATTTTCATCAAATTTTCACCAAATGTTCTCCAGTGCATGCAAAATATGGTAAAGTTGTAAAATGAACAAACAATAAAATAATGTAAAAATTGTTCAGGAAAATCTTAAATCGCGGTACCTTTACGCTTTTGAGTTGTGCTCCTGCTGGTTTTAAGTTATATTTATGAAAATATCATTTTTATACAGTAAAATAATAAAAAATTGTGTTCCGAAATTTTTGTTTATTTCGTCATTCCGCTGATATGGCGATTTCTTTGACGACTGCAATATATTTCTGAATTGTTTGAGTGAAATGCTCTTTATTTTTAAAATATCCAAATTAAAATTAAAAAAAAAGCCGAACACAATTTTGAAACTGACGTATTTAGCTATGTCCTGTGAAAATTTGAGAAAAATTTGTTAAAACCCGCAGGAGCACAACTCGTTTGAAAATCAGTAATTACCGTAAAATTTTTCGGGAGAAAATTGAATTTGAATATTACATTTTCAATGTTTTTCTTATTGCAGCGAAATGTATTTTACTAAATAACTCTGTGAGTTTTCAACATTTTTCGTTCAAACTTGGTCAGATAGTAGAACTAGTCTAATGCTTTCATTGAAACCAATAAAAACATTTTAGGCAAAATTAACAGTCAAAGGTGTTTTGTAACCTTAATAAGTATATTCATAAATAGTGATGCAAATATATACTGATCATTCATGATTTATAATGTATACTACGCCATGACTGTAAAACAGCTTTGAAATTAAGAATGTGATGATGTATTATATTACGTATCGAATGATCGAAGTATCGAATGTGATGTAGACTTCATAAAATAACTCAAAAGCGACAAATATAATGTCATAATGTCATAATATATTATAAAGAATATATTATGAACTAAAGATTTGGGCACTTCAATATGGACATCTACCATCTTGGTTTAATTGTATGGAGTGTATTTGAAAGTGTTCTCTGTACAGCTACTATATTCGGTTGGGCTCAATTACTGGAAATACTTGTAGGTGAACACTATTTCTCGTCCTATTGCGGAGATGAGGCTAATTCAAACCGGACTATATCACAGATAAACACAAGTAACTCCTCGCACAATAAAGCAGGTGGCAATGATATAAACACATGTTCGGAGCAAGACAGTATTCTTCGCTTGATCTATACAATCTCCGTTTTCGCTTCTTTTGCTTCAATATTTCTCAGTGGAAAATATCTGGATATGTTTGGCTTCAGAAAGACAAGGTTATTGGCAAGGTGGGCTGTTTTATGTGAATTAGATTTTTAGTTTAATAATGTAAACACAAGGCCGTACTCATGGGAGTGGGGGGTAATTTGTAAACTTGCGATGATCTGTAGGGAAATAATGACCTAATAATCAGTCACCCCTGACTAATCAGCCCCCCCAATACAAAATTGCTCCCTCCGGTAGTGCCCAATTCCAGCTAAGGAATTTGCTAAGGCGGAAAATTTTAAAGTTTATTAGCTCAGTACGGGTGTCCACAAAATCTAAACCGACTGTTTGATTTCATGTAACGTATGCTATAGAATCTATCGCAATGAAATAAAATTAAAGATCAGTCCATTCAAACAGGACTATAAGCTTAGATTTTAATATACAGTATGACACTTGAACTAATTACATGCATGCAAGAAAAACTACAAACTACAAACAGAAAAACTACTTTTGGTATTTTCAAAAACAGTAATTCAACGTTCAAACACCAATAGCGCAGTTAATATGGCATGTAAAATCAAGTGTTATAGGCCTATATCAAAATCTAAATTCGTCGTTTCTGAATGCAATGATTTTCATATCATTGCGACAGCATTTATAGGTTTTATTCAAACAGTTTTCAGATTTTTTTGGGACACCCGGTTCAGAACTTAACTCAAGCATGCGTTAGACGTCCCAAAATAGACTTTTAGTAAAATACACCTAAGATTTTGTACTTACATATGAACATATGGCTATTTATATTATGTAAAATCAATAAAGTTTAAAAGGTCCGAATATCCATGGACTGGAATTTTAATAAATATGTTGAAATCATGGGTCAATTCAGACGTATATTTATTCATTAAAACCCTGGAACAAATATTTTTTTTAGTAGGGACCCACTCAAATGGCAAATAACTTTTTTATATAAAAACATTGATGCTTTAATGAAATTCGTATAAATTCCAATATTGCGAAATAGATTTAAAGTTCACATTACATGAAAATTTCTCCCCATTTTTTTATGCATCATTTAAAAGTACTAACTTGAAAATGATAAAGAATGACCTTAACAATTTATTCACAGCTCAAGTAACCGGGCATTTTGTTTTTTTGTGTTATGACGTGGCTGGTTGTGCTCAAGGATGCCAGCAATTCAAAAAGAATCAAATCTAATATCTCAGAAGTGATTCGACGTATAATAAAATTAAATTTGGTACAGTTATATTAGTGCAAATGTACTTGGAAGAGGCAGTACCCCCAAAATGGCTGATTCGATAATTCGATAGAACCAATGGATGATTTCATGATGTACGTTTTTATTTTCACGTTTAGTTTCATGTATTTTCTGGCCGGCGGAGCGATGTTTATGTCAACTTATGGTATGTTACCAAATTTAATATAATATAATTATATTTTATGTTTTAACTCCTTTGCACCACATCCCAGTATCGTCGATCAGCACTGATCGATTGCAAGAAATTTAATATCTTCGGTTCAGTGCATGCTATGAAGACAGAAATACCATCATTCGATTCAGAAATAAAAGATTCAACTAATTCCTCCAGATTTTTTTGGGACACCCGGTTCAGGACTTAACTCAAGCATGCGTTAGACGTCCCAAAATAGACTTTTAGTAAAGCCCCTACACCTGAAATTTTGTACTTACATATGAACATATGGCTACTTATATTATGTAAAATCAATAAAGTTTAAAAGGTCCGAATATCCATGGACTGGAATTTTAATAAATATGTTGAAATCATGGGTCAATTCAGACGTGTACTCAGACGTGTACTCAGGTGAATATGATGCTTGTGATGTTACTCTGAGTGTATATCCATCTGTGATGTTACTCTGAGTGTATACACTGCACCAACACAGAAAAAAGCATGATTATTAGATTACATTGATATCGAAGGAACTAGATTCGGTCCCGAAATATCACACACTCGAACCGTCCTGACCGCGTAGCTCAGTTGGCAGAGCATTGGGCTAGCATTCCAAAGGTCGTAGGTTCGATTCCCACCGTGGCCGGGCATATTTTTCAAGCTCGCCCGGTGTGGATATACACTCAGAGTATCACAAGCATCATATTCACCTGAGTACACTGCACCAACACAGAAAAAAAATCATGATTATTAGATTACATTGATATCGAAGGAACTAGATTCGGTCGCGAAATATCACACACTCGAACCGTCCTGACCGCGTAGCTCAGTTGGCAGAGCATGGGGCTACACAGCAAAAAATCAATTTCTTATTTTAAGAAAAAAAAAACTTGTTTTAAGAAAATTTTCTTGAAATAAGAAAATATTTTCTTGGGAGAATAACAAGAAAATTTTCTTAATAAGAAAATTTTCTTAAGAAAATTTTTCTTATTAAGAAAATTTTCTTGAGAGAAATTCCTAAATTGAGAAAATATTTTCTCATTTTAAGAAAATATTTTCTCAAATCAAGAAATTTTTCTTAAAAAGAATTTTCTTATTAAGAAAATTTTCTTGTTATTCTCGCAAGAAAAAAAATTCTTGAAATAAGAAAATTTTCTTAAAATAAGAAAATAATTTCTTATTTTAAGAAAATAATTTCTCAAAACAAGAAATTTTTCTTAAAAAGAATTTTCTCATTAAGAAAATTTTCTTGTTATTCTCCCAAGAAAAAAAATTCTTGAAATAAGAAAATTTTCTTAAAATAAGAAAATAATTTCTCAAAACAAGAAATTTTTCTTAAAATGAATTTTCTTATTAAGAAAATTTTCTTGTTATTCTCCCAAGAAAAAAAATTCTTGAAATAAGAAAATTTTCTTAAAATAAGAAAATAATTTCTTATTTTAAGAAAATAATTTCTCAAATCAAGAAATTTTTCTTAAAAATAATTTTCTTATTAAGAATGTGTTGTTTGTGTGTTTATATGTACAGGTACTCAGGTGAATATTGTTTTTGACGTTACTCTGAGTGTATACTCTGTGTTACTCTGTGTGTGTACTTAGGGGCTTCGGTGGCCAAGTGGTTAGCGCACTTGCCTTTCACCTCTGAGGCTGCAGGTTCGAGTCTCACTAAGTACCTTCTCAGTGCGACTCGAACCCAGTCCCCATGTGAAAAGAGTAAAAGTCAACGCTCTGCCGAAAGCCGTGGGTTTTCCCCGGGTACTCCGGTTTCCTCCCACAGTGAAAGTTGACAGGGTGGGTTAGGTAAAAAGGGCCCACAGTAATTGGCATATGCTGTTGTGGTGACCCTGCCCTAGTTGGCAAAGCTAAATAAATAAATAAATAAA